GCCTTGGTATCCCCCAGGAGGGCTTGGAAAGAGTCAGTGGGAAGAGGGATGTCTGAGCAGCCCTGCTGCACCTGCAACCCAAGCTTGGATAAGCAGAAGAAAATGGATGGATGGATGGTTTTGGAATCACACGTTCACTTATCACACATTGCTGCAGTGTTCAGGTGTCTACATACTTTTGGCTGTGTAGTGTAACTGCTGGATGCAGTGTGTGAGCATTTACTCAAGCAACTGATGTACAAGTAGGCCAGGTACAATTGGGTGTAGTACTGGGAGCCTAAAACATTGAACAGGTTGCAGGACACGTACAGAGGTTGCAGTACCCTCAGGTGTACTCACGTAAAGATGAAAGTGCAGAAAGCAGGCAAGAGGAGTGGGTGTGGCCTGTGGAAACTGCAGCAGCAGCGTCTGCAAGTAGAGCTCCAGCTCCTTCTGCAGCTGCTCCACAAGACTCTTTGAGTTCTTCCCCAAAATTTTCTTTGGAGGAAGCAGCCCTCGGTCTATGTTCTTCTCTGTTGTCAGCTGGCAGGAAACACACATCAGGACAAAACCTTAATTTATTAAGCTTTTCCAGTCTGGGGATGTGCAGTTGCTCTCAGTTTTATACCACAGTAAACAGTAAACTGACTATCTTTGGGTTCTGGACTATGGTTCAGATTAAAAAAGACAGACAACACAAGATGTTATCACATTTTTACCACAATATAGATGATTTATTAATTAACCGAAAAAATTGCGGAAACATGCATCAAAATTAATCACTGCAGCCCAGTATGGCTTGTTCTCTATTTCTGTTATTGGGAAGTAGAAAACAGTCATGTTTACTCCACAGCCCTTAATGCATTATGATTTTTAATCCATGGAGATGTACAATTTACTTATTACAGCTGTGGGACTGTTGCTTTTGTGATTGCAAATGAAGAAGTATAAGCATACTGTCACTCAGGTGTGAATATGAATTTATATTAATTACATTTTACCAGCAGCTTAAAAGGTTAATCAAAATGAGAGTTTTGTTCTCTTTGCATTTTTGCAAATACAAAAAAGACAATTTTCATTGTTGGCCCCAAACGTCCTTATTCTGCATCTCCAATGATTTGTATTTAAATATAGTTTATTATGAAATGTGTAAGTTGACTAAAATACTTTAGTGCAGCCTCTGCACCTTTAAAAGGTACTATGCAGTAAAAAACACTAGACTGACTCCATGTGTTCATGTATCGCAGAATCAAACTCAATTTAACACAAGACAACTTTAGTCCTGCTGTTAGTTTACTTATAGTAGAAATAATTATCTGGTGAAAGTGCTAAAGCCTTTCACACTAAGCACATAAATTCACTGATGGGGGAAAGTGGTTGATAACTGACCTGCTCCGGTCTCTTACCTTCTCGTGGAGGTCATGGAAATCACTATAGCGGTGCTTCACTGTCCATCTATGGTCTCCGTCTGTCACTTCAATGATGTAGACCTGAATCACCACAGCAGGACACTCAATTATTACAACTAAACTGAATTACAAACTGATGAGCTTCATGGATCGCTGATAATTAAATGCAGAAAGATCAAAGAACACAAAAGAGCATCTTTTAACAGAGAAGTTCCCATCTCCCCAAACATACAACCACCTATTATTAAGCGAACCAAGTTCTTACTTATGTGATAACACCTGAACCATCTCTATGACAGCTCCAACGGCACAGTGCTGTACAGATGAGCGACAAATGAAAGAAAAATCCCATATAAAGTGTCTTGGTGAGGTGTTGGGCCACCATGTGTTACCAGAACTGTTTCAGTGCACCTTGGCATTGACTCTCAAAGTCTCTCTACTGGAGGAATGAACACCATTCTTCTAACAGATATTTCCTCATGTGGTGTTTTGATGGTGGTGGTGGAGACGCTGTCTAACATGTTGCTCCAACATCTCCCATGGGTGTTCAACTGGGTTGAGATCTGGTGACTGTGAAGGCCACAGCAGCTGATTCACATCATTTTCATACTCATCAAACTGTTCAGTGAGTCCTCGTGTCCTATGGATAGAGGCATTGTCATCCTGGAAGAGACCACTCATTTATTCAGGGCTTTCCTTTCATTTGTCACCAACCTGTATGACCAAGTTCAATGGTGAATCTTCAAGCTCATCACATACTTGTGCTTAGTCAATCAGAAAATCAATCAGCAAACGTCCAAGTCAGAATGACTTAGAAATTCTTCTCATCCCTAAGTCATCAGTTTTCTTTCATTATTGTTGTTTCTTTCTTTTCGTACATAAAATAATCTCCAAATCACTCGGATTTTTTTTTTTTAAAGGGACCGTGGGACATTTCGCTTCAGGTGAACAACCATGAACATACATATAGCCTATACAATATTATAATACCACTGCTGACAAAGGAAGAAACAGCTATGTTGAGTTATCAGCTCTGTAAACAAACTGTGACAGCTCTGTTAGCAACACAGCTAGCAGTTGTCTTGTCAGTTCTGACCATTTTAGTCCAGCCTCGGGAGGACAAAGACATAACAACAAACCGTATAATAAAGGGAAAATTAGTATTAACTGTTAGAATATTTTTTTTCAACATTTTACTGTTGTCACTTTAACAGACGTGAAAAAATGTTGCTATGAGCTAAACTAACTAACGGTAGTATAAATTAGCTTTACCGTGTAGTTTTCCACCAACTCCGACCCGACAATACACACTTTTCTCTCCAAAACCTCCTCCGGGAACGGGACGGACTCCATTTTCAGATCAAAACGAGCAAATGCTATCTGTTATTACGTTTTATAAAGCTCTTAATTAAAACGGCCTTAAAGGATCCTAGCGGTTCTGCTCAGTTAGCCACCTCCTGACGCCATATCTGATGTGATACCGAAAGGAGCAACTGACTGGTTTAAAAAAAAAAAAAACTTTATTAACAGTTGCTCGGTGACAATTATTTCACCGCGTTTAAATTTTGTTCAGTCCGTTTTATGTTAAACGTTTATCAAATATAGAGGCCAAAATAAAACCGAGAGCGAGTATAACAGCAGATATTCGTCCGAATTCCTCCATCTTTCAAAGATTTATTTATTAACAGCAGTAACAATTGTGATACATAATTAATATGAGGTCATAGACTTACAGCCATGTACGAGGTGTGGCGTCGTGACATCCATCAGACAGCAGCAGTTTATATTAGCCATTAACTGAATATGAAGAAAAACAAATCTCATATAATATATCATATAAGATATAACTGTGTGCAGTGATATTTTTGATCTCCCTTTAATAAGAATCAAATCAGTATAAAATATAGTTAAGGTGATACATTTTGTTTTGGTATTACAGTTTTTCTGAATTGCTAAAACACTTTTCTTGAAACTATCACTCATTTTCTCAAAACCTTAAACACAAATCCAAATATTCAAACTAAATTCACAAAACCTCTGACTCGTCTGGCAAAATCAAGCAATTGCTTCAAAACCATGTCACCAGCACTCAAAATCAAACAATGCTTTCAGATCATACACAAATGAGTCAATCATATACACACTGCAGCTCAGTCATTAGACACTACATCAAAAAAAGGAGAACACAGCATCCAGGACATGTAGTTACAACAAAAAAGTTTATTGTATAGTGAATTTACCAAAAACCATGTTACGATCAAAAAAGAAGAAGAAGAAGAAAAACACATCCGAAAGATTATTCTTTCTCAGGATCACATCTTTGAGCTGGGCCCGACCAGAGGGCTTCATCTACGTCACAGGCAATGTTGTCCCTTCCCAGGCAACGGGCAAAAAACCCTGAGGAAAGTGCTGTATGGTGGAAGGTCTTACTCTTCCTCGTCCTTTTTGTCCAACACCTCATATTCCTCTACCTCTCATATTGTTATCCATAGTTGAGGGATGTACCCGTGCCATCTGTGCACTTCGAACTGGTTTATGATTTGTACCTTCTCATCACATAATTAGAAACAAGTGTGAACAATTTTGAATGAATGTGTGTAAACGATGACAACTGTGCTTTAGCTGTGTCTAAGTTCTGCGGTCCTCTGTTTAGTGTTTTGCAACACAGGTTCCTCAACGTGCGAATTGTGTTTTAGTGAGTGAGAATGTGTTTAGACTTTAGCAAAAAGAGTGCATGAGAATTACTAACAGAGTCTAAGTGCCTGAACTTGTTTAAGGTTTTGCAGAAAGAGTGATTTATTCGACAAATTGGTTTAGGCTATTGAGAATTTGGTTCAGAGAATGGGGTTTATTGTTTTAGCAACATTAGCAATAAACACAAAGTAAAATTAATAGTGCTGGTAATGTGAATAACTTGCAGCTATTTGGTCATACACCAAAGGAAGTTAAAACTCTGACCTGATGGTGGCACTAGCTCCAAAGCCAAGGGATCACCAAAGCTATTATAAATTGAGCTGAGGGGGCAACATGAATGTCACAGAACCAAATTTCATAGCAATCTGTGGAATAGTTGTTGGGCGAATTTTCACTAAAATCACAAATGTATAGCTCATAATGTCACCAAATGAAAATCAGGGAATCATAAAAGACTTGACGATAACTCACCCATTATTTGTTGGTGGTCCAACTGACAGCCACAGCCATCCACAGAGCTGGGACAGATGACGACATAAGTTCTTTGTTGCAGTATAATGTTTTCTATAACCTCACCCCCAACAAATGTTTCACCACTGCTGTGGTAACCTATTTTGAATTCACATGGGCTGGATAATTATGGGTATGTGCATGACACAATAACTGACTAGTAACTGTTAATTTGCTACAGTAACAACTCTGCATATTATGGCTGCTTGTTGTTGCACTGGCCCTAACAGAGGGGAGGGCAGTAACAGCAGCAGATGTGGATCAGATTTCAGCTGTGAAAACAGAAGTGGAATGAACCATCCTACTGCAGGGTGCATCTCTGTGTTTATTACAACCATCAAACACAACACCTTCATTCTGTCTTATCTTAAACATCTTATACACATATATATACATATCTTATACAGTCGCAAGAAAAAGTAATGCCACTGTTCAGTTTCCTGGTTTTCTGCATAAATTGGTCATGAAATGTGATCTGATTTTCACCAAAGTCACAAATAAACATGCAAAGTGAAGGTGAAAAAAGTAATAGCAACACTGTTTTAATAACTTGTTGAACCGCCTTTGGCAGCAATAACCTCAAGCAAGTGCTTCTTGTAGCTGTGGATCAGATCTGCACAACGTTCAGGAGGAATTTTGGACCATTCTTCCTGACAGAACTGCTTCAACTCAGCCATATTCTTAGGACTTCTGGTGTGAACGGCTCTCTTGAGGTCATTCCACAGCATCTCTATTGGGTTGAGGTCTGGGCTCTGACCGGGCCACTCCAAAAGGCGGATTTTGTGTCTCTGAAGCCATTCTGTAGATTTAATTCGATATTTAAGCCTATTGTCCTGCTGCATCACCCAGCTTGTTCCAAGCTTCAGCTTGCAGGCAGCCATCCTGACATTATCCTGTAGGATCCCTTGATAGACTTGGGAATTAATTTTCCCTTCCACAATGGCAAGTGGTCCAGGTCCAGAGGCAGCAAAGCAGCCCCAAATCATGATGCTCCCTCCACCATACTTCACTGTTCTCTTTCCACGCCATACTTTGTGCTGTGTGTTCTTCCCACGCAATTCTACCTTTGTTTCATCTGTCCACAGGACATTTTCCCAGTACTGTTGTGGAGTGTCAAGGTGGTCTTTGGCAAACTTCAGGCGTGCTGCAATATTGTTTTTGGAGAGCAATGGCTTCCTTCGTGGCGTCCTGCCATAGATACCGTGCCTGTTCAATATTTTGCGTATGGTTGACTCATGAACAGAGATGTTAACCGCCTCCAATGAGTCCTTCAAGTCTTTAGATGTTACCCTAGGGTTCTTTTTTACCTCATTGAGCATTCTGCGTTGTGCCTTTGGAGTGATCTTGGTTGGGCGTCCACTTCTATGGAGAGTAGCCACTGTACCTAATCGTCTCCATTTAGAGACAATATTTCTAACTGTGGACTGATGAACGTCTAAAGTCTTTGAGATTGTTTTGTAACCCTTTCCAGCTACATGCAAATCAACAACTCTTGATCGTAAGTCTTCTGACATCTCCTTTGCGCGAGGCATGACTCACATCGGCCAATACTCCCGGTGAATAACACGCTAACACCGTGAATTTATAAGGTACACTGTAAAAAGAAAAATCGTTAAAAAACGATCAAATGACAGCTATGGCTGCCGAACAAAAACCATAAAAATAAATCAGAATCAGAATCTAATAAATAAATAAAATAAATAAAGTAAAATACCCTAGTTCAAAAACTTGCTAAAGCCATAAATTTACAGAATTTTCCATTTATGCCTTTGCCGAGAAACAATGTTGCTTTGTAGATTTTCCTTTTTTCCACTGAAACACCTTCAATAAAGAAACATCTTCAATATAATAATTTTCATGTTAAAAAATTGAAATGACTGTAGTTTGTCATTATTGCTGTAATACATAAAATGAGAGTTTGGATTGTTAATTTAAAAATAATATCTGTAATTTTACAGATGTTTGAATATATTTTTTAAAAAGAAAAAAAAACAGTATAATTTTTTTCCCTAAAATTAAGATTTTTTTTACAGTGTAGTAGTTGTAAGCCACACCTCCATTCTCGTTTATTGATTATACTCCAATTTTGATAACACCTGACTCCGGTTGACATTTACTGACGTCAGAAGCCTAGTGTTGTTTTTTTTCACCATCGCTTTGTATGTTTACTGGGTGTGTTCAATTAAGACATGAAAGATTACGACTGTTTGTGTTTTATCAGCTTAGGAATGTGTTTGTTAATATTTGTCACTTTGGTGAAGATCACATCACATTTCATGAACAATTTATGCAAAAAGAAAGAAAGAAAAGAAAATTGCAAACACTGCAAACACCCCCCCTGTTAAACCTGTGAATGGTACACTCCAACACTTTATCCAGGCTGAGGGGGGAAGGCATAGCCACAGTCAGTGGTGATCAGAGCTGAGAGCATTGCAGCTGTTGGTCTAAAACTGAAAATAAAACTGTTATAATCAAGCTAGAAGACGCCTAAAACTCCTCAGCAGCACACTTTAGTTCACTAATCAGAACTGCAAGGAACTGGTTTGACTTTCACAGAGGCCAAGAAGAGAGATTAGAGAGACAGAGGAGGGCGTGAACAGGAAAACAGCCGAGGAGGAAAGCTGCTGCTGCAAGGGGAGGAAGAGGAGGCTATGCACCAGCCAAAGCCAGAGGTCAAGAAAAAAAGTCAAAGAATAGTAAAAAGGTAGACTCTAAGTGAAAGAAAGGTCATTTGTGATCTGAGCCAGAAAAGCAGAAATCAGCCTCTCTTTGTTGCTGTGTGGGACACCGTGCGGGGAGGAGGATGTGAAGGAGAGCAGCATGGGGAAGAAAGGCAACTGCAAGAAAGACAAGAAAATGCTGTCAATGATGTGCAGGAGGAGCTACCATCAGCAGCAGCATGATGGAAAAGAGGCTCGACAGAGGGACGCTGCCAGTAGGTGGCACGGCTGGTCCAAGAGCTGCAGGGGATGCATGAAGGGGCGAAGGACAAGAGGGGGAGGGCGGCTGAGAGGGCGAAATCACCGCCACCAACACCCTCAACGTTATCATCCTCATTACCATCATCCCCGACACCTCCAGATTCCTGTGTTGTCCTTACGGCCCATTAATGTTAAGGGAAACACAGCAAGGGGCATGCGCGCCCCCAAGAACACCAACCAGTTTCTGATGCATGAGAAGTACCAGATGCTGCACATGCGCTCCGACTCAGTGGGGAGCGACAGCGGCAGCGACGTGGAGCTCACCGACATGGATTCATACCTGGGCGTCCTGGAAAATGCCAGAGGAGCCCTCCTGGACAGTCCCAACCCACACGGCTCAACATCGCCGCCAGGACAAATCGTGGAACCACACAAGGACAGTCTGCGTCTGCAGGAGGACAGTATGCAGTATTTCCCCTCTGAAGATGACCTATTGCAGACCCAGAATTTCATGCAGAGGGACTTCATTGAGTTCTGTGACATCCTCACATCCTGAAGGCAAACTTTGAGGAAGCCATTTTGTTCTCAACAGTGTGAGCCTGAAACAGGGTCAGGTTTGTTCTGCTTTATGTTGACGGAAATTGTTTAAGTGTAATTTTCTTAATCTTAGTGCAGTCGTCTGCCTTAGTCAGTTTTGCACTACTGGCACTGACGTGTAGAGAACAACAAAGGAAACTACAATGAGAACAGTGAATCTATCTCACCCTGTTGGCATAATTACTTCAGCTGAATACATTGCTAAGACAGATCTTTACAAAATGTTTTTTTCCAGTTAATTTTTGGTCATGTAAAGTGTTTCTGGGTGTGCTGCCTTTCTGATGTTGTTTTTGCGCATAGAGGGAGCTGGGCTGAGTGGTGGGAGTGAGCCCAAACAGCCAATCTACATTAAGATGACTGAATAAACCTGCAGATGATTGGCTGATGCAGACTGTCAACAACAACAAAAGCATGTTAGTGTACAGAATAAAAAACAAACAAATAAATATCAGAGTGATGTAACATGGGCCAATTGATTGTGTTTGTCGATATAAATAAGTGTGAATGAGTTTTCATATCATGTCCAGATAGAAGGCTCAGTGTGTCACTGAGTCTTCAAAGTACTGTAGCTCAGAGTGAACAATGCACAGTTAGATAAAAATAAATACTCACATGCATCTGAAAAACAGCTCACAGGGCAATATATGAGAGGAGCAGTAAAGAAAAGCATCCTCCAGAATTATAACATTAGTTATATATATATATATAAGTGCAGGAATAACAATTTAAAATTTTGGGGTTGTGTGATGGAGGAATTAACAGATCAGATTATTTGATTTGATGGTATTCTGCTATAAAACAACACACACATAATACAAGTAAAGATATTTACAAAAAATGGAAAAGGAAGAGTAAAATAAAACAAACTTGATCCAATGTGGGGCATGCAAAGCCAAAATAACTGTTACTATGGGTAATACTAATTGTATTTCTAATCTAAGGTAAGTATCCACATCTTGGTTCTAATTTACTGAAAGAATGTATATCCTGAAAAACATACAGAGCACTTAAATCTGATTACACAGCCTAAAGTAAAGTGGTCACACCCACTCAAGATGGGCAGGGAAGTGTAAGCCTCTTTGTGTTTGTGTGTCATAAACAAATGGTGACAAAAGGTCAAAGAGCGAAGAACAGGTAGGTATAGATACTTTAAGTCTGATTTATAAGATATATTGTTCTGCTCTTCAAAGTGAGAGACCAGTAACTGCAGAAATGGTGAAAATGAGAATGAGCATTTCCCCCTAAGTACCACTGAATGTGAGGCAGTATCACCAAACAAATGTTCTCTTTCAGCTGTCTTGTCTTTATGAATCAGTGGGAAAATGCTTTGGTTTTTAAAATCAATATAACAAATTGATCTAGAACATAATAGATTTATAATTAGATGAAACAACACCAAGTCACATTATTTCTTCTAGAGTTAAGAGGCTGTGGTGGCAGTTACTCTAGTTAGCTATAGGCTAACCGCTGTAACTACTTTATATAGCCAAATTGGAAGGAACATATTGTAACTAAGCAGTTTTTGAGGGAAATGCACAGTTTGACCTTGGCACAAATGATGCTGTTGCTATTCTTGTACACATGTGGCTCACGTTTCAGCTACATCTGCACATATGGTAGTTTAGGACCTCACCGGTATTCAGACTGGAGCTGCATACATATCACTTACAAACATGAATGTGAACCATCAACACAAAAAGGTAAGATCTGACAATAATTAAATAAATAAATGGAAATGTTTTTAAAAAAAATTAGAAGGGAGCACTAAAGCCTGTAGTGTGAATGCAGCCTTTGAACTAAAAGGCCAAAAGCATATATAGTAAGAAGCAACAGGTCTAATCTCCTCAGTCTGACCTTTGACTTGTAGATCAGCTGACCAGCTCATTTGGCACATAGTGAACTCTATACTGAGGTTGTGTTAACAAACAACACACACACACCGTCACACTGACAGTATGCTTGCACTAACACACACACAGTGCTCAGGGACACCGCAGCAGATCACAGCTGTTTTGTCTCTGTTGAAGGACACTACAGCTCCAGTTTCTACTTTTTGCTGCTCAGTTTGAGTGGTACAGCTATCTTTGTGAGGACACTCACTGACATAATGCACTCCCTAGCCCTCTTAGCCTAATGTTAAACATCAGAGCTAAATGCCTAACACCATAAGTTATCCTAACCTGAACCCAAGTCTAACCTTAACCCTAAAACCAAGTCTTTGAAGGTGAGAGGACCGGCCAAAATGTCCTCACTCCCATGGTATGAAAGTTAAACCAGACCAAACCTTACACACACACACACACACACACACACACACAGGACCTTGGCAGTAAGAAGGTATTTGCAGCAGATTATACAAAGTAGATCAGTAACCTGCAGCCAATTCCTCTGCTAGCCGTGCTAATGCTAATCTATTAACACACACAAACACCTTTGTATGTCAGTATGTTTGAGGATCTTCACTGACATAATCCATTTCCTAATCCAAACCTTTATATCGACGTAATTCTAATCTTAAAGTTAAAACCAGGTCTTGACCCCCAAACAGACATTTGGCAAAGTGAGGACCATAAGAAATGTCCTCAAATCACTTTCAAAAAACATCTTCACTTTCATGGTATATAGTAATATACCCTGGTTCTTTCAAGCATGCACACATACACACATCCAGACAAATGTGAATTGTTACCAGCTGCAACAGGGGCAGCCGTCCAACAAGTACAGACAGAGTTACAGTATGAACGACGGTTAGTGAGATCACTGACACACCCACCCATACACACACACACATTGTAACATCCCACTAGTTGTTGTGAGACTCCATGTTGTCAGTTTAACATTTTAGATGGAAATGATTATCTTCTGTCTTTTATAATCCTGAATCATAAAGACCTTTTGCAGGCTGGGACAGAAAATATAAAAGTTTTCTTTCCCATCTCTGTCCGAACGCTTGGAACAGACAACAAATATGTGTCTGGTGAACAGAAATTATGACTAGAATGTGAACTCCTAAGCTGTCTTTGTATCAGGATGGAAATTATGACTTGTTACAAGGATGTAGTCGTGTCTGATGGTTCCTCACAGGTCATGTGACAGTAAAGACTTCCACAAAACTGATACAAAAGGATATTATGGATTTATTGTCACATTTGAGAACATTTGCAATGACACCACACTGGGTTGTTGTTTTTTTTTCCTACTAGAACTCTGAACCAATCAAAGAGTCTCCTCAGTTGCTGTGGTTCTGTATGCTACCAAAAACCGTTGTCATTACCTCAGTGTATGAGCGTGTGTGACTTGGGGAGGGGGCAGGGAGTCAGTGTTATTAATAGAAGAAGTGAAAACAGGAGGAGCGGATAGAGCTGGATAGTAAACTCACTTTAGAGTGGAAAAGTACAAGAGTCTGCTCCGAAGGCAGAGATTTCTCTGCGGCGTACACAAACCAGCCAACCAGGGGACAGAAAAACACAGTGATTGACAGCAGTGCTCAGCAGCAGGACAAACCAGCAGTGGTGCTCTGTCTTCATGCAAACTTTTTTTGTCTTTGATGAGAAGCTTCAGTGTTTCTACTCAGTAATGAAACTGTTTAATGTGAGGATAAATACAGCTTCTGAAACCAGGCTGTGAAATATGCTGAAACTTTATGAAAACTGTTTAAACAAAAGTTAACACAGTCTGTAGATACTTTGGCAGTCTGTAGATACCAAAGTCGCCGGCTGGTGGTTTAATAGAATTAATGTTTTATGTTAATTAGTAACTGTTAAATTTTTGCACATTTCTAGTAGCCTTCTCAAGATGTGGTGTGTGAATATGTCACACAGCTGACAATGCCCCCAAACAACACACACACTTTTCCAGTGATGTGTAGGGTTGGTTGTGTGTGTAGCCAATTTGACTGTTGTCAAGCTTCTGAATAAGTATTATTACTATATATCAGTCCTGTATATATGGGCCATTAGGGGCCTACTATTACAATAGTAGGTTCAAGAGGCTTATATCACCTATTCATTTCATTCATCCAGTGCCAAACTGGGTGATTATTTCGCCTGGCCAGCACACAGCTAAAACAACTGCAGTGTAATCTAACAGTCCTGCCTCGTGCTTCCAGGTATCAGTGTTCAGCCTTTGTTGAAACTCTTGTAGTGAGGGGTTGATTTGACTTTTGGTAAACCATGTGGTTTAAATCTACAGCTATGATGCTTAGTAGACTATATCTACTATTTATAAGAAGCACCAAAGATTCAAATACTACACACATAAAACACAACTAATTGTGAGCAGCTATGAAAGAGCATTGCTGAAATGCAATATTCACAAACAAATACAAAATTAAGTTATAAAAACAAAATGTCACTTGTGACATGGACTTTGGACACTGGATATAATCATTGTGTGTCTGCAGACGGTCCTTGGGGACTTAAGAGCACCAACTTAATTGTGTTAAGAAAAACACAAAGGAAACTCCACAGAATGATCCCCTGGGCATGCATGAGGCCTGAAGGGTTTTGTAAACGGTTTAGACTGAGCATGAAAATGCACATATTCATGACATTATTCACAAGGATTTATAGCATTCTTCCAAATAGCAGTTCTGCTGGTAGTGAAGGACGAAAAGACAATAAATAACAAAACAGGCCTATATCATTTGCCTTCATATCTCACGAGCTTATCGGGGGTTTTGCTTATTATAGCCAAATACATGTAGTAATAGTTCTGCAGTACGTGTAGTCGGCGATTGTCTAGCTGCACTGAAAGTACGCGAGACCCCCTACAAGATAAACAACACAACGGCTGGCCTGCAGGACACGTCCCACACGTAGTAAATGCACGTGCGGCGTGCGTACATACGCGGAAGTGAAGCCTCGGCGTCTGATTGGCTGCTGGGACTCACCGACCTGCCCCGGCGGCTCAGCGACACAGAGACACTGCAGCCTTCGATCAACACAAGTCGTCATGTTTTACCTTCCAGTGGACACAAAGGAAGCTGTGTGCAGGCTGTGTCGTCGGCAGTTCTCCTGACGGTGGCGACAATAAACTAGAAATCGGAGATTTTATACAGATCTTTATTTCTCTCATTTCTCCTCTGCAGACGTAACACAAAGCACATAATTACTGACTTGATCTCTGAGTATAAGACATAAATATTTCCTTTTTATGGATACTGTAAACCTTATTTACAGGCATGGATATGCGGTGTCATTCTGCAAGCTGTACTGTTAATGCAAGTGAAATGACATATAACGCTCGTTTCTCTTTATATGAAAAACCTAATTTATGTCTCATGCTCTTTTATCCATTGGAAAATCCGTAAATATTCAAACAAATTAATGGGCATGCAAATTAATCTGCTGCTATTCTGCAAATTATCTCACTGTAATGATAATAAACTATGACTCTTCTGAAGAACAGCTCATTGGAAAAACAGGGAAGCTCAGTTAAGTGCAAGTGTCCCGAGAGAATATTTAAATAATAAAGGTATCCACGCTGTGTGATTTTATGCACGGTTTTGGAGAGGTGCATGGTCTGTTAGCCACATATCTGCTCCTTGGTTGGGTGAGGATAGGGATGCTTTGTGTTAAGGGTAGATCTGGAAACTGGTGTTGCTTATTGTGGGGCTCTGAAGATTTATGAGGCCATGGACTGACACCCCCCTCTTTGTTTATTGAGCTTTAATATGAATGCTCTCCCATTCTTTGGCACATTTAATTGTGTATTATTGACTGACTGATAAAGAAACACATGCAAATACACACTGTTATAATTGTAAGGCCCCTAAAATAATAGTGTATTCCCAACTAGCAACTGCAAACATTTCCTCTAGTAGATAATAATGTTAATCTGCTGAGCCACACAAAAACATCTATATACATCTGTATCTGTGAGGACCCTTACTGACATACAGCATCCCACTAACCTGAACTTAAACATATTTTGACCCATAACCCTCAAACCAAGTTGGAATCTGAAGAAATGAAGACCAGACAAAATGTCCTCACTTTCCACAAAGGCCTCCCAGAAAATGTCCTCACCTCAAACAGAACAATTTATAAAACTGTCTCATCCCTTTTCCAAAATTCTTTGGCCTCAAGGGTTTAAAACTGCATCCTTAGCCTAAAAGCTGTGTGTTTCTAATTTCTTTAACATTAACTGTAAAATCACATTTGAACCAGTCTCCTCACTTAACAAGTGTCTGCACTTTTAAAAACTATTCTCACTTTCCAAAAAACTGTTACTTTTCAAGAAGTCTTCAGTTCCAAGGGTCCGAGATCAAAAACAACCAGAGCTGGGGCAAGCTGTGGTTTATTTTCTGGTTTTATCTGGTGAGTCGGAGCTTGTGTTAACGTTATACGCTGCACTCACATTTTTAGTTGAGGCTGTGTCTCACAGTCAAAACTTCAAAATACAAAGTTACAACCTAATTTGCACTTCAATTAAAATTATGTTTGACTTACTAATGAGTCAGACTGTGAGGTACTCATGAGTTTTAAGTGCGCCATCTTTAACTCTACAGCTGTTTATTTTCAAATTAAAGATGAACCTCTGCAGGCAGACGAACAGTGGTGCAAGCTGTCGACTGTAAATGACAAAAACGGGAAATGCTCTGACTCCCCCCTCTGGTCAGTCAGTGTCATGTGAAACTTGGCTTTCATTTCATTTCCACCTGCACATTTGAGAAAAGGACAGAGGATAAACAGATGATTTAATAAAGGACAGAACAGAAAAACAAAAAAGCCTTGGCAGCATGGTGGATTCAGAAACTACTCTTGTAGTACCTTTAATAATTGAACAGCTAAAAGACGACTCAAATCACTTTAATGTAGAAGTAATGACAGCATGTGTTTTTGCAAGACTTCCCACTTGTTCCGTTTTCTGGGAGCTCAGCTGTAAATTAGTCATTCATCCATCCATCCATTATCTATACCGCTGAATTGGGTCATTGGGGGGCTGGAGCCAATTCCAGCTGACACTGGGTGAGAGGTGGGGTCCACCGTGGACAGGTCACCAGTCTATCACTGGGCTGACATGTAGACAAACCACACACACACACTCCTAGGAGCAATTTAGAGTCACGCCTGTGTGAGTTCTCTCCGGGTACTCCGGAGGGAACCCACGCAGGCACAGGGAGAACATGTGGACTCCACACAGAAAGGCCCTGGGTCGGGTGGAACTCGAACACAAAAACGTCTTGCTGTGACAACCGTGACCATGGCGCTGTGCTGCCCATTAGTCATTCATCATTTTTAAAAGCAAAAAGAAAAAGAAAAATTAGTCCAATAAACACAAAATTAACCAATGTTTAGTTGAGACCATATTCCTCATCAGATCTAATCCATAAAAGTGACCCCCACCCCTCCCCAAGTGTGACAAAACTGGCTCCAAATTAATTTCAGTCCATACTGTACTGTATCTCATCACTGTCAGACATTATAAAATAGTCATTGAATATGGCTTCAACAGCAAAGTTCGTTTTAAAATCCATTACTGATGCGGCCTGTGACAGAGGAGAAAACACTCTTCTTCTTCATATTAACACCCACTTTACTGTTCCGCTCAGCTCACACTGTGTGGACCAGCCGACAGATCACACAGCACTCAGTGTTCTTTCTGTAAATGTCATGTCTGAATAAAGCTGTAAGAACATTTACTTGACACCTGTGTCCCTTCAACAGATTTCTTCATGAAGTCAAAATGCTACAGATTTCAGGCCTGAAGCTGTATTTACTCTCTTTGTCCTTTCTCCTGTTCTCTGTTTGTTTGCTCTGCATCACTTTTCTTCTCCTCCTCCTCCTCCTGTCTCCTTTTCTCTTGTTCCTTCTCCAGCTCCTGTTGTTCCTTGGTGTCGGCCTTCTTCAGTTTCTCCTCCACATCCTCAGGAATCTCCACCTCCATCAGGTTCTCCATCCCCTGCTCTGGCTCGTCTCCTATCAGGACCTGGAGGGAGGTGATGGAAGAAAAGTGGGAACAGTCCAATTACAGTACATGACATAAGCACACATTTACCAGTTTATGAGGTACACCTACACTAAGTCAGTGTAATCCAGCAGTCCGGCAATAAATTCCTGTACTGGTGGTGATTCAGCTGTACGATCATTATAGATGCTGTAGTTTGTGGTGCTATGAAACAGACATTTTGACTCATCACAGTTGGGAGATCGCAGGTGGTACTACAAACCCTAACAATGGCACTGTCTGAGGTGGTCTAAGGTTACGTTCACATTACAGCTAAACTTTCCCAAATCCGATTTTGTGTCTCAGCTCAGATTTTTTCACACAAGTGTGAACAGACTGAGTAAGATGTTTTCAGATCAGATCTGGCCCACTTTGCTTTGTGCTCCTAGATCTGATTCATATCCAATCTCTGACTACGCACGTACAGCCAGGTCAGAACTGATGTGGCTATTTTAACACCTCACTCTCCTGGACATATGGCCTGTCCTCATTCAGTGTCAGCCTCTCACAGACCGGTGAAAATAAACATGGAGGAGAGCAACAACGGTGACGGGGTCAGCGGAGAGACCAGGATGTTTCACCTTTGTTAGACATTTATAGAGAAGTTTCTGATCAAGACAAAATGGAAGAAACATATTGAAACTGAGCAGTCTGTGAGGGAAATGCGCGTTCTGACCGTGTCACAAACGCTTCTGTTGTTGCTATTCACGTGGCACACGCCTGGCAGTGTAAAAGCTCAAGTCATGACAGTGTGACAGTGAGCCAGAGGTTAAATTCAGCCAGTGTGCAATGAAGATGATGTGGCATTAATCAACTATATAAAAGAGAACATCTCATTGATTTGGCTCTAAAACCTTTTCTTTGCTTTGAACCACTGCAACATAGAAATAAAACATCTGGTTTGGGAGCTCAGCCATCACAATAAAAACACAGTAGCATTTAAAATGATTATTAATTATTTGCTGATTAGTATTCTAGTTACTGTATCAGACAGTTAAAGATCTTGAAGACATGTGTGGCGGCTAGGCCCTTCCTACCTGGACCAGTTTCTCACAGGCTGCTGTCACGTGGGCGTCCTTCTCCCAGCTGTGAAACTCTCTCATGATCGGATAAACGTTCTTCTCTTTCAGCGTCTGGCGACCGGCTTTGGTAGCTGTCAGCTACATATCAGAAAAACAGTTGTGAGCTCAACGTGAAAACATGAGTCTACATGTGTGTTTGTTGTAGTCTTTGTGTTTGTACCAGTAAAAGTGTTTCCAGCAGCATCTTTCTGATGTCTGGGTCATCCTCTCTCATCTTGTCCTCCGGGAGGTACTGCAGGTCCACAGGCAGACCTGAACATCACATCAGCTCCTGTTAGCGCCACATCTAGGTGAACTGTGTCTGGACTCATTTGGGTTTGGACAAGAATCTGAGCAGTTGTAATAAGATACATGTCCATGACAAGTGAGCTCCTGTGAGCATCTCAACTGCACCCGTGTTCATATAAAGGCTGTTTATTCTCTTTTTATTTGATGGGTAATGGGTAATAATTACATGTAGATGATTTTTATATATGTATATTATATTTTGGTGGAGTTGAATGAAAGTTTAAATTATATGAAATTTTTTTTTTTTACTGATTCAGGTTTTTCTCAGAAATGACAAAGCTCTTCCAGAGACACACACAAGCCATTATACTGTTTTCACAGACTGAGTAGGACCATTTATTAATAGTAAAGTGATCATCATGTATAAAAACTGTGGCATGCTCCTTTAAAATTTCTTTGGCCATTTCAGAGAGCGTCTGTACCCGACAGCTTGTTAAACCTGTAATAAGTGTCATTACTGTGTTGTGCAACATGTCTGTGTTGCTGCAGAGCAAGCTCAATGTGACATTACTGTAGACACACTTTATGAATGTGACACTGGTGTTAAAACATGATGAGTATGAATGAACTAACATAGTTTACTATTGCACACACTCACCTTCATTCTCCTCCTCTGACAGCTCCTCGGGACCAGCCAGTGGCAGCAGGAGGAAGGGCAGGATGTCCACAGCGTCACTTAGCAACCACTCATGATGGGCTGAACAGAGTATATGGTTTTACAAAGATGTTGCTGAATACCTGGTGTAGCATCTCTCACATTTCTCCGATTTGTTCCTTCTGGTCTAATTACAGTGTTTTTAACTCTCAGTCAAAAGTCAGATGATCACGTCTTTGATGTCAGTCACTTCAGCTGGTGTCATCACAGGGCACAGACCCTACAGAGGCTACTTCCCAGGCAACTTACTGATGTAGTTCAAGTTGGGAGGAGTAAGACATATGCATCTTGGAGAGATCTAGCTAGAATGTGACTGTGCAATCAATCTCATGCTTCTTGGATGCATTTACTGTGATGTCAGATAGTGATCTGATCCCCCAAGACACATTAAAGTGAAGCTGTATTTACTTCAGTGTTAATGACGTACCCTCTCTATGGCAGCCAAAGACTCCAAAGCTACACTGAAGCTGAAGTTGAAACAACACACTGGGGCTACAGAGATACACCATCTAAGTTTCTGATGCTGGTAGAGAAATGTCAGAGCCCTCTTATACAGCAAAACCACTGTGAACAGTAAATGCAACAACTTATTAAACCAAGACAGACCTTACACCCCCGTCACTCATATCACAAAGTGAATGAGGCAAAGCAAACACACTTGCACTGTATAATCTGTCTAGTGGTGCACTGATGGGTGAAATCCAATGCTGACTTAAAAACCAATATCGTAGAAGCCTGTGGTGGGACTCCTGCTGCGTCTAGTATAATCTGAGGTTAGGTATTGTGAGGATAAATGAGGTGTATGCATATCTCACCGTAGTCAAAGCAACAGTTGTGCAGAGTGCCTACAACTCCCCCCCTCCTCACAGCTGATGCCTGGTATTGAGTGAAGGGCAGCAACCTCTGGACTACACACCTGCAACACACACAGATAGTTACAACATGCTGCTGCAAAAGGTTTTAATGTTTAAAGACTGTTCCTAAAAAGGGAATACATGGCACATCCATAGTGCTGCCCATTTTCACACCTGAGCACATCTGGTCAACTGCTGCAAAAAACAGTGATCAATGATGGTTTATTACTTTTGAAAAGTAAAACGGAGTGATGTAGCTCCCCCCTCTATCTCACCATCAGCTCTTCTCCTGCAGTGGAATCACTCACCTGTCCTTGTCCATCATGTAGTTTCTGGCCTCGGGAAGCTGTGTCAGGTTAGACAGCATAGGACCAAGGTAGTGGAGCTTTGCCATCTTGTTGTAACCTTCGGTACAAAAGATTTCCACCAGCTGAGCCAGACCAACCTCCTCCTGGAGGACCTGGAACAGCAAAGAAGCATGTTTCATTATCCAGCACTTTAAGCAGGATACAACCTGAGAGGTTTTGTGAACCTGTATGAGATCAGCAGCTCACTGCAAAATAAAAATCAAATCAAATCAAATCAGTTTTATTTGTATAGCGCCAAATCACAACAAAAGTCATCTCAGGACACTTTACAAAATAAGGTCTAGACCTTACTGTTATCACTATTATTATTACACTATTAAAAAGGTTACTGTTCTTCAGCTTCTTTGATTACAGACATATCCCTGCTATTGTAACTAATACACAACTCCCCTGTAACCATATGCTGCTTGTGCCCCCCCCCCCACCCAAAAAAAACCTTGTCCAGATGAAAGA